TGCACCATCGAGCGGGTGGCCGGGCAGCTCAACGTGAACCGCCGCTTGCTGCACCGGCGGCTGGCGGCAGAAGGGCTGACCTTCTCGGAGATCATGGAGGGGGTGCGCACCGAGATCGTGACCCGCGCGCTGCCCAATCGCGACCGCTCGCTGAGCGCCCTCGCAGACATGGCGGGCTTCGCCTCCCTGAGCGCTTTTTCCCGCTGGTTCCGCAACCGCTTCGACACGACTCCGACGGCTTGGCGAAGCCAGAGCAACTTCGGCGGCGATAAAGCGTTTCAGTGACCATGCGACGGCACGGGCCGCCTTGGTTTGGCCCGAAGCCTCTCAGATGATTGGTTCGCCCGCATCCGGGCCGTGGAGGATGACGATGCCGAGGATCCCTGTAAGACTTGCGTTCGTTGTGGGTTTGGGCCTCTTCGCCGCGGCCTGCCAGGGCGATGGCTATGGCGCCCCGAGCGGCGCCTATCCCGGTGGACCGGGCTACTACAATACCGGCTACAACAGCCCGCCGCCGCCCCCGCGCTATGGCTACGCGCAGCCGGCCTACGGCTATGCCCAGCCGGCGCCGAATTACTACTACGCCAACCAGCCGCAGCAGCAGAACGCCTACTACAATCAGGCCGACGGCCGCCGCTACACGACCGTGGCTGTGACCAATCGCGGCCAGAACGGCTATCGCGACGACGTGGTCCAGCAGCAGGTCGTCTGCGGCAGTCAGTATTACGATGGCTACAGGACCCGCATCGCACCGCGGTGCTGATCGCGCGTGATCCTCCCGACGCGCGGAACAGGCGGCGCACGTTTACGCCCGTTCCGCTGACGGCCTGATATGACACCTCCGGGAGATGTCTTCCGGAGGTGTTTTCATGCGTAGAAGGAATTTCGTCGCGCTCGGTGTTTCGTTCACGGGCGCGGCGCTCGCCGGCGCCGGAACGGCCAATGCCCAGGACTTCCCCAACAAGCCGATCACCATCCTCGTGGGCTACGCCGCGGGCGGAAACATCGACGTGACGGCTCGCACGGTGGGGCAGGCGCTGTCGACGGTGCTGGGCCAGCCGGTCGTCATCGACAACCGCCCCGGCGCCGCCGGCCTGATCGCCCAGACCGCCGTCGCGAAGGCAAAGCCCGACGGCTACACCTTGGTGCTCTCGGGGACGACCGGCTTCGTGCTGGCGCCGCGCCTCGTGCCGACGCCGCCCTACACGCTGGACGATTTCGTGGGTATCGGCTCGACCTCGGAGACGCCGCTGGTGCTCGAGGTGCCGGCCAACAGCCGCTTCAAGACCTTCGCCGAGTTCGCGGCCTACGCCAAGGCGAACCCCGAGGCGATCGCATCGGCCATACCGGCAACGGCACGACCAACCATGTCGCGATCCTGCGTCTGCAGCAGATGCTGGGCGCGAAGTTCACGCCGGTTCCCTACAAGGGCTCGGCGCCGGCCATCACCGATCTTCTCGGCAGCAACATCGACGCCATCATCGACCAGATCCCGAGCTCGATCGGCCAGCTCCGCTCCGGCGCCTTCAAGCCGCTGGCGGTGACCAGCCTGAAGCGCGCCACCGACCTGCCCGACACGCCGACGCTCGACGAGCTGGGCCTGACGGGCTTCGAGGTCGTCACCGGCT